AATTGAGAAAAATTTTGTAATTGTACCACCTTTGATTGAATTTCATCAGATATTTCATTATTATAAGGCGTTATTACCATCTAGAAAAAATGAAGTGATAAGTAATATTTAATTATTAGTTACCTGTTTATGTCTATCACGTTCAGCAAATTCATCTATTTTTTGTTTAACTGGACGTCCAGATCCCAACTTTGAATATTTTAATCGAAATTCTTGAACAAGTGTGTTATTTGGATGATCAGCACGTGTTCGTTTTAATTTGGTTTGTAATGCATCTTTCCAAATGGCCTTAAATTTAAAAAAATAAATTATTTTGTAATAAATAAGTCTATACTTACTAAATTTTCTGGTGTTGAAGGTAATTTCAAACATCGTACAAGGGCAGAACCAACGACATTATATTGTGTTTTTGATAGATAGCTAATAAAAAAATCAATAACAAGGATGAATGTGAAGTTCTATTGTAATTGAACAAGCTTTTTCAAAGAAAAACCAATAGTGTTATGTTGATCGTTCAATTTTGGACTACATAACGTATTAATTAAAAATAAATAAAAAACTGATCAAGTTTCAAAACTGTCGATAATCGATAATTTCTTGATAGAGAGAAATCTCGTCTTATCGTTTGAAATATTTCGATAAAAAATTGTTTAAATTAACGGTTTCTTTTCTCATATTTGCTAAAATTTAAATTATCAACAGCGTAATCGATTACAAAAGTTAATATTGTGAATTTTTAATAGAAAACTATCGAAAAAGAGTAAAAAAAAATCGATTTATAAGATATAAAAGAACATGACAACTATATGTATTTCAATGAAGAGATTACTTACAGTAAATTATAATTTTCCATCAGATCATGAGCTACTGCATCGATTAATATTTGTCGACCTTGACAATGTGGACCAAAACTTTTGAGATTTCCAGCTTCAATATCTTTCGATAAAGCTTTTGGTAATGTTGGTACTTCATATACATCTGGAAAAGATGAAGATACACCTGCAGCAATAATAACTTGATCAGTTATTGAATTATCCATAGACATTGTTGATGAAAGATTTGTGTTTGATAAATTAATTGTAGATGATGCTTTTGAATTAATTGAAACAGCAGGTGATGTTTGAGGATTTGGTAAAGTAAATATTGATGTTTTAGGTATTGTAGATGTATTAGATAATGGACCATCACATGAAATTGAACCATCATCAATTTTTCTGAATAATTTCTCACGTTCTTCTAAGAAAATTAGCTGTTGTTTCAATTTCGGTATTAACGGTGATATTCGTTCAACATTATTCAACATCTTGAGCATTGGGCCATCCACATCATTCTCTGGAAAAAAAATAAAAATTCATATTTAAATATAATGATAAGAATAAAGATTTGTTATTTTTTGAAAAAAAGCATAGTTGAGAAAGTTAGAAAGCTGGATTAGTATATGTTGTTATAAAAAAAAATCATGCAATGTGAAAGAGTTTTATAACTAACGTAAGCATATAATATTTCAAGACGCAAAGACAAAATCAAATCATAAAGTCTCATTAGTTATGAATCATAACCAATTTCTTCGTCAATCGTAATATGTATCAGTATACTGATACATATTGCAATTGAAAAAGATCTGATACTATTAGACACAGGAACATTATAAATAAAAAAGATTAATGAAAGTTTAAAAATGAAGCTGTAATAAAATCTATATGAGAATAAGTGTTTGAAACATTGAATGTTCATTTTATGGTTAATGTAATGTCAGACGTGATATAAATGTAACAAAACTCAAATTGTTCACCAGGTAAATATCCAGTCCTTTGTGATAATATACTAAATCATTTGGATCAATCAAAGAATATTGAGTTAAAGATTGTATTTGCCATGCAGATAATTTTTCATCATAACCAATTGTATGAAGATTATCAACTAATAACCACCATT